AGCATCCAAACGGCCTCAGTGTTTCCCCTTTGCTTTTGCTTCTGAGCACGGGCCTCCCCCTCCTACACAGTCCGGGCCCCCGGAGTGCAGGCACCTGCTGATCAGGCCATGACCTTGGGCTCCACACTCCCTGTCCTCACTGCGTGAACCCAGTGCTGAATGGAGCGGGATCCCCTGAATCGAACACAAACGGATTTCTACCTGAGGGCTTCCTGAAGGCGCGTTTCTCCAGTCACGTATTTCTACTGTGCCTGACATCGCCAACACCAGCCCTTCTCCACCAAGAGTCGGAGACACTGGGCTGCACGAGCCTCTCCTGGCCGGCTCGGGACCCCCACCCCGCCGGGCTGCAGGACGGCCCACGTCCCGAAGGCGGACTGGCCGCCGCTGTCCCCTGCCACGTGCCAGGCCCTGCGGCCCCTCCAGCTCCTTCCTCCTCCACGCTGCGTTGCCAGGCACTTTACTGCCCGTGATTCACCCACGGAACGCACCCCACCCAACAGTTTTCGGTGTATTTACAGAGCTGCGCCTCCACCCAGTCCCCCAGTCCATTTTAGAACATTTTCTTTTTTTTTTAAATTTTTTTTTTTAATGTTTTATTTATTTCTAGGAGAGAGACAGCATGAGTAGGGGAGGGTCAGAGAGAGAGAGAGTCACAGACTCTGAAACAGGCTCCAGGCTCTGAGCTGGCAGTCTGCACAGAGCCCGACGCGGGGCTCGAACCCACGAACCGTGAGATCATGACCTAAGTGAAAGTCGGACGCTTAACCGACTAAGCCACCCAGGCGCCCCCATTTTAGAACATTTTCATCGCCTGGAAAGAACCCTGAACTCTTGCTGATCACGCCCCTTCTCTGCCCGCCATCCCCCCCACCCCCCCACCGCCGCAGCCATTCATCTGCCTTCTCGCTCTAGAGGTTTGCCCTCCTGGACACTCGTGCAAACAGTCACAAGTGTCTGTCCTTTCACATCCAGCACCTCGTATTCGTGGTTCATGCATGTAGTAGCATGTCACTCCTTTCCACGGCTCAGCGAGGTTCCCTTACGTGGACGTACGTGTCATTCATCCACTGGTGGATGTGTGGGTTGTTTCTGCTCTTTGTCTGCTGGTGTGAACACGGGTGTGCGTGTTTGCGTGTTCTCGCCTCCCTTGGGCGCACACCCAGGACTCTGCTAGGGACGGAGCTCCGGCTCTTCAGCGCTCTGTTGAGCCAGGCCAGTGCCCAAGGCAGCCGCACCTGCACGCCAGCGGCATGCGGGGCTCTGACCGTCTACACCCGCGCCCACACGCAGGACGGTCTGACTCTCTGGCGCTCCCCACGCCGCTGTCTGGTCCCATCTGCCTCTTCCTGGTGACGAATGACCGAGCATCTGTCTGTGTGTTCACTGGCTGTTTACACAAATATCTTCTTTGAAAACAGTTCAAACCCTTCGCCACTTTCTTAACCGGTCTGTTTGCCTTTTCACGGTGTGGTCGTAGGAGTTCTTACACGTTCTGCGGGCAAGTCCGGTATCGTTCTGTGTAAACATCTTCTCCCACATTGTGAGCTGTCTTTTCACGTCCCTGACCGTGGTCTTGGAAGCACCAAACGTGAAGTCACGTTTCTCTTCTCTCTCTTTTTGCTCGTGTTTGGTGCTGGATCTAAGTCTCCTTTGCCAGATCCAGATCGTGAAGGTTCACCTCCTTTTTCTTCTAAGCCGTCTATAGGTCAGCCTCTGAGTCACATGACATTAAGTTCTGTACGCGGTGGGGCCACTCCGCCACTGTGCACGTGGCTTCCAGGGGTCACGGGTTGAGAAGACAATGCTTTCCCCACTGAAAAGCCACAGCACGCGAGGCTTTTTTTCTGGACTTTCACCTCCTCCCAGACGGAGGATTCCATCCTCATCCAGAACCTCAGCGGCCGTCCACAAGCCAACGCACCCAGACGCCGGTCCCTGCTCTGTGCTTCCTCGGCAGAGGCCCTGAAGGCCATGTCCAGGAATGTGTGTGTGTGTGACCTACTGCCAGGCAGAATGCAGGGGGGTGGGGCACTGGGTCACTACGTTGGGTGAAGCAGGTAGCAGCTTAGAAGGGGCACGTCCACGCCGTATCTCAGTGCAGAGCCTGACGATGTCCAGTGTGTGGAGGAAGGGGGGGCCCAAGCCTCCGGCGCCCGATGGTGAGCCCACGAGGGACTGCAGAGAGAACTTTCCACTCTGTGCCTGGGGCTTCCGGCCTCCCAGGCTCCCATGGGAAGGAGAGCACGTTACAAGTGCAGGTATGTAACATGTGATGTGTGACGATGCCCTGTTCAGGAATGAAGGGCCGGGTCACATAGAAGGTAGCAGGCTCCCAGCAGGTGCCAGGGTGAACTGCATCCGCCAGGGGGTCCCGCCAGGGCCCTGGGAGAGCCTGGCCGACCGTGCACTGAAGGGGCCGGGACTTCCGGAAGCCTCTCCGGACATGGTGACAGCCCCGGTCGCCCTCCCCTCCCCCTCCCTGCGCGGGCCGCGGTCCTCACAACAGGCCTGCGTGGAGCTCCTGCTCGCGCCGGGCGGGGCCTTGGTCCTCACAGCAGCCCCGCGGAGGCACCCGGCCTGCACGTGTCCACTGAGGCGACAGGGGAGCTCAGGGCCATGGCCACGCTGTCCACCGCCAGGGGCGGCTCCTGAGGGGAGCTGTGTCTCCAGTTCATGTGTGTGAGGACGCACACCTCGCGGACGTGACTGGGGTTTCTGCAGAGACTCATTTCCTGATATTCTCGAAGCCGGAGGGACTCCGTGCAGATGCAGCGGGCCACGGCGATGCCAATGCAGGCTGCGGAGAGGCCCGCCTGCAGGCGCGGCCGGGCTGCCCCTCCTGCCGCAAGCCCCCTCCTGCCAGGAAGAAAGTCTTCCCGGGGGGCTCCTCTTCGCCCCTCAATACCCTGCTCACATGCTCCCTGGAGAGGCAGCTTTGCCAAGGTCCTGGGCAGGAAGGCACGGCTGTGCTCCGAGGTCCCACAGCCCCTGGATCCCGGCCACCCAGGTCTGTACGTTCTAGGCATTAGGTATTTTAAGAGTCAGTCACTTGAGAGCACACCCCAGATGTGAACGTATGAATGAGTGGATGAACAAATGGATGAACAATAAGCCGATCCACAAGTGAATGACCAGCGGACGGACGCGGGGTGCTCCAGTGCCTCGGGCTCCCTGCTGACCGGCCAGCAAGGACCATCCCCTCACCCTGCTCCCACTGAATCCCACCCAGCCCGATGCGGCTCCAGGTTTCTCAGCAGCAGCCACAACGCACACGTGAGGAAACTTCCTATGCACAAGGAGCAGGAAAATAGAAAAGCAAAAATTAAATTAGACGGCAGCGGGGAAATGCCCCCCGTGCAGAACAAGAGCGCCAAGTAATCTGTCCGCCCGTGGAGGCGGCCGGGTGTTAACTCGGGTCTCTGGGACCCGGCTCCGAGGGGCGGGAAGGCCAGTGGGAGGGGGAGAACGCGGTTTCAGATGCGCAGACCCAGATCCGATTAGGAGTCAGCTCCGACCCTAACTCTCCGCGCAGGCTCGCAGGGCTGACGGGAGGGGGTGCTGCAGGGAGTGTCCCGCCCGGGCCACACGCCCCGCGCCCCTCGCCAGGCCCTGGGGAGGATCAATCAGCGTCAGCAGGACAGTGCGCATCCCTAGGAGCCTGTTCTGGTTTTGGGAGCCGGGTGGGGGTGGGGGCGGAGGGGAGGAATGCGGTTCGCTGGGAGTCAGGGAGGCCGAGCCCCGGCCCGAGCGCCCCGAGCACCCGGGCTGGGCAGCGCCGAGTTCCGGAATCAACGGTGCCGCTTGCGGGCAGGTCCACCTCAATCATATGCCTTTTACGGCGCACTGACTGGTGGGTGTTTTTCATAAGGGCAGGCGACGGTTCTTAAAAACGACCCAGCTCCCGTGACGAGCCCTCTGAGCGCCACGTCCCCAAAGTGCCACCACTTGCCTCCAGCCCCGGACAGGCAGGGTCAGCCCCTCTGCCACCTTCTCCCAAGGAGCCCCTCAGGGCTGGTGGCACGTGGCCGTGGGGGCCAGAGACAGCCAAGCAGGGCCTGGGTGGGGTCAGCCGGGAGCACCCCCGGGTCTCCAGAGAACTCGTACCACAGACCCCCCTCAGCTAGGCTGGAGCAGCCAAAGGTGCGTAGGGCACGTGGACCGACATGGCTGGGCCGGGCCTGCAGCTCCCAAGTCCCCTTGCTGCCCCCCCACGTCCCCTCCATGTCCCCACAACGTCCCCGTGATGTCCCCAGACAGGCCTGGGACAGGCTCAGGAGCCACAGTAGGCGGCCTGGCCACAGGAGCTCAATCACACGCCTTTTACGGGTCTACTCTGGTGGCAGGGCTCTGGGCCCGAGGCTCACCCGCCCGCAGGATGCCAGGTGTCACTCTGGGGCCCGTCTACCAGGACGACGGGTGTTGCAAGGCTCCCTCTGTGTGTAAGAGTATTTGCGATTCTGTTTCAAAGGCCGTCCCCGAAGGTCCCGCCTCACACAAGGCGCCTGAGTGCTCCTCCCGTGAGGACGTTACCGCGGCGCGTCTCGCCATCCTGGCAGCCGGAAAGCCCGTGGGGAGGCCTCGCCACCCTGCTCTCGGGCCCCGAGGGGGCTGGGGCCCTGCTGAGGGTCACGGAGCTGCTGCCCGCCGCGCATGCAGCAGGAGGAGCCCAGGCCCCTGCTGGCGGCCTCGGCCAGGGACCACACGTGAGGGAGGTGACAGCATCCCGGGCCGCTGGGCCCCACTCCCCTCTGCACACGGCGCCACCGAAGGGCCGCGGCCACCGCCCAGGCCTGTGGCCCCCTGCCCCCCGCAGCACCCCGAACGCCAGGCACACAGATGCGCCACTACCATCCGGGGGCCGAGCGCCCGTTGGGACTGTCCTGCCTGAGGCCCGACCCGGCCAGCAGGAGGCCGCCATGGGCGCCGTGGGGGCTGGGCCGGCTCAGGTGGAGCACAGCGCCTGGGCCCTCGAAGGGGTCGCGCCTGAGCGCTCTTACCGTCCACGCAGGCGGGCCGGGCTCTCGTGGTGCCCGCGATCTGCCCCTTCCTGCAGGCGCAGCGAGCCGTCTGCCGCGCGATGGTCCTCCTGGGCTGGCTGCTGTCGCGGTCCAGGGTCACGATCTCACAGGTGCCGGCGGCCAGCTGACCTGCAAGAGAGGCACAGACGGGGCTGAGCGCCGTCGCTGGGGCCCGAGCGGCCCAGCCCTCCCGCCCGGGGGCCTTGGGGAGGCACGCCTTAAACTCCCGAAAGGATGCCGTCAGAAACGGGGCCGGGCGGGGGCAGCCCAGCCTCCAGCCCTGCACACGCCGCGCTCGGTCCTGCCCGGGCAGGCAGGAAATTAAATGTGGCCCCGTCTGTCACGCCCGGAAATGAAAGGGCCCAACCTCCCCGTCAGGACGGCAGCAGCCAGACCGCCCAGAGCACAGCGACCGATGCCCAGCCCCGGGGTCTCCGCGCACGAGCCAGCCCGACGGTGGGGCAGGTGCTGAAGACGCCCCCCCCGGCTGTGTTAACGGCTGCGCGCGCCCCCACGTCCTGAGGGAGCCCCCGCCTCCCGTCAGCGCAGGGCTGAGAGCAGACACGGTGCAATGACACACTGAGATGCACACACAGACGCAGAACACAGACAGACACGCCTGTGCACGCCTGGCAGGTGCGCGTGCAGTGCACACACATGGGTTCACACGAGCGGGACTCAGGTGTGAACACACCAAGGCCAGGAGACACACGGACTCACAAGCCACACGGGTGTGAATGGGGAGATGCCCACGCAGCGCACGTGTGACCCATGTCCATGCCCACGCAGGTACACAGATGATGCTCATACAGCGCACACGTGTCCCGTGCAGAGGCACACACACAAGTACCTGGATGTGCCCCTCACTCTTGCTTTCCCACGCGGACACCGCCTGACCCCTAGAGGCTGGCCACCCCGGGGCACAGGACTGGCCTTGGTCCATCTCCAGCCAGCACAGCGTATGGAGAAGGGACACGTTGCCTTCGAAGGTGACAAGTTTGGTCCCTGGAGTCACAGGGAGGGCGCCCCGTTGCCACCATCCCAGCAGAGGGGGACCTGCCTTCTGCAAGGTGTCACCCCTCCTGCAAGGTGTCACCCCTCCTGCAAACCCCAGCACAGCCGCCCCCCCCCCCCCCCCCCCCCGATAGTGGTCACTGTGACCGTGACGGCTCGGCCCGGAGGGGACCCGCCCAGACGGAGACAGGCCGCCTGGACCCATGTAGACTGGAGGCCGACCCCAGCTCGGCTGGTGAGGCACCAGCGTGTCCCTGGGCTGGTCCCCTGCCCCCCCCCCATCCCGGCCACCCAGCCACAGCCTCTACCTGCAATGTCCCCTCTGGAGAACCACTGGAGGCCTGTGCACTCATGGCCTCACTCTCCCATTCCCTCAGCAAATAGTAAGCACCTGCTGCATACCGTCGGAGACCTTGGGTCCTGGGACCATGCTGTGAGCAAAGCAGCACAGTACCCTGGGGGGCCGGGAGACCACCTCCTCAATGCCCCTCACGCGGGGCCCGAGGGAGACGGGACAGTGCAGGGGTGGGGGCTGCATGCTGACCTATGAGAAAGCGGCCACCAGAAGACGGGCCAGGGGGCAGGGGGCAGGTGGGGAGGGGCAGCTCCCACTCTGCAGAAAGCAGGCAGCTCCCGGGCGGTGCTTCTCAGCCCTGGTGTCCTGCACCATCCACACGACTGCTGTCACCTCGGGCCCCTCCTCCAGGCAGACCCCCAGGTCCTCCAGGCAGCTCCCATAGGTCCCCAGGCCAGCCCCGAGCCCGGTGCCGGGCAGGATGCACACCCCGGGGACACCGTGTCTGCGTGAGAGCCATCAGGCATCAGACGTGCCGGCCGCACACTCGGAGGGCTGTGAGCCTGTGGACGGCGCACACACGAGGTTCGCTGCGGGGGGCGCACAAGTGCCGGGCGAAGGACTGGGCGGCGCGGCCTCCTCCCTCTGCCGCTGGGACCCTCTCCACGAGGAGCAAAGCCCCACCCCAGGGCAGCGCCCCAGCGCCACGTCCCTGGAAGCCTTGGGCCGCACCCTGTGGCTTCTGTTCACTGATTACAGGGACATTCCGCACGGCGCGGGGTATGAGGCAGACGTGGCACCGAGCGAGTAGACAGCGCATTAGAGGAAGACCGTGCGGACGGAGACAATGCCCTCCCAGCGACAACAGTGCTCAACGCCTCAAAGACGCGCTTCCGGGAGCCACGCACCGGGGCCGCCCCGTCGGGCCCTGCAGACGGGCGGTGGGAGGCCTGTGTCCCCGCTGCTGTGCAAGGTCCGCAGATGGACACGGGCTGCGCCTCACAGCTGCCCGGCCGACTCCACACACGTCTGGCCACGTCAGTGGGCAGCAGAGGCCCGTCTCCCGGGACCGTGAGCCCCAGTTGCTAAGTAAGCCAGCAGCCAGCCACGTGACCCCCGCCTAAGGCGTCAGCTGGCCCGGGCTTCCGCGCTAGCCCTGGAGCCACGAGAGACGCCTGCCGGGCGTGTCGGGCGTCAGGCAGGGCCCCAGCGAGGGGGTGGGCGGGGCCTCTGTGCCCCAAAGCACCCAGCACCCATCAGCCTGGGACTCAGCACCCCCAGGTGCCACAGCTGTGGCCCGCGCCCTGCGCAGCGGTGGTGCTGGGGGATGACAAACTGCCAAGGTCCCCCCAGTGGCCATGGTCCTGCATCCACATCAACATGAGGCCCATGGCAGGTGCCTCGTTGGTCGGTTACCATCTGACGCACCCTGGGAAGGAACCAGGAGGAGACGGGAGGGAGGCCCAGACCCCAGCCTGCCCTCGCCCCTGCATGGAGGCCACACGTCTGACCTCCAGGTGTGGGCAGGGCACCCTGAGGGCTGCCGGGGCCGGTCTTTCCTGCCTCTCCCGGCTTCCGGGGACGGTGGGTCCCGGCTGCAGCTGCATCAGGCCGGCCTCCGCCTCCTTCCTCGGCCCCCACTTCCTTCCTTGGCCTCCGCCTCCTTCCTCACAAGGCAGCCTCGGTGCCTCTTCTCTTCCTCTGAGTCACCGGTCACCTGGACGACAGCCCACTCAGGTGACCTCATGGGAACGTGGGCACAGCCACTGACACCCTACTGCCCCATGAGGCCACACTCACAGGTGGGGGGTTAGGACTTGACTGTGGCTCTTGGGGACCCCATTCAACCAAAGGTCTGAGAACCGGATCCGGTGTCTATCTCGTCCACCTGGCGCCCGGGGCTCGCAGGCCTACACCCTCCCCGGGCGCTGTGGTCCTAACCCAACAGGGCTGTGCTTCCTGCCCGGAGCAGGTGGACGCATGTGGACCGAAGGAGGAAGGGAGCCCTGCCCCCCTGCCTGTGGGTTCAGACAGCCCGTGACATGCAGGACAGGGACGGAGGAGAAGGTGGGAGCCATCCCGTCCAGTTGCCCTGGCTGGTGTCTCTGAGCCCCGGGAAAGGGAGCCTTGGGACCACGCCAGGCGTGCAGGGATGCGGGGCCCCACAGGGCAAGGCTGTGGCCATGGGCCCATCCACGCTCCCCACCGGCATGCAGGTGATGAGGGCACTGGCGGACCTCGCTGCCCGCTCAGGCCGGCTCTGACCTCTGTGCCCGGCGGCGCAGCTGTGGATAAACACGTGCTGGTGGCCAAGCTGGGCCTGGCTGTCCCCCGGCCAGGGACCGATGTGCAGAGTCCGGTGGCTCTCATGAGTCTGGGACGGCAAAAGTCAGGGGGGAACCAAGAGGCCGGGGCAGATTTCCTCTTGCCACCAAAGCTCTCTCGTGTCCAGAGCCCCAGGAGCCCCGTGGGTCCTTCAGAGCTGGGCCCCGGAGGGCGTGCCAGCACTGAGGAGGCCAGGACTGTGGCCGCGTCTGGAAACGGGGTCCCAGCTCTGGCACCGGGGGCCACGGCTAAGGAACTCCGGGTTCCTCTGCTGCACTGGCTGGAGCCCAGCCAGCAGCACGCGTGGCCTGGAGAGGGCCCCACACGCCGTCCCCGTGCTGTCCCAGCACCTGGAGGGCCACCTGCCCGGGGCTGGGGCCCGAGACCCAGGCCAGGGGCAGAGCGGCCGGCACCATGGGGGCCTGATCCCGGCCACCGGACCCTGCGGGGTGGGGGGGGGGTGGGCAGACACTGCCCGCCTCGGTCCAGGAGGTGCACGTTGGCACGAGTGCCCGTGCGGCGCCTTCTCCGGGTGCTGATGGGTCTGCAGCTGCGACCACCACACACCACCCACCCAGGCCCCTGGTCAGGCATCCTCAGATCCACGTCCCCAAAACTGTGAATCTGTGCCGGGGGTGGGGGGAGGGGGCGGGGGCCCGCTTGGCCCGGGTGGCCGGTGGGGACCCAGTCCGCCCACCCCCACGCTTCAGCATGCACGGAGGTCCCCTCGCCGTTACAGCAGCGTTAGACGAAGCGGGACAAGGTGGGGAGGTGGGTCACACGCAGGCGACGCAGTCCCCGCACACGACCCGGGGCCCAGCCTGGCCCAGCACTGCCCCGCGGGGCCCCTGCCTCCGTCTCCTCCGAACACGTCCAGGCAGATGCAGGAGAGAAGGCGACGGGGACCCAGATCCGCTCGGGACTCCGCGAACAGACTATGCAGCAGTGATCATCCCCCTCCCGCCGCAGCCCAAGATGCACACCTCCCGCCAGCCGAGGGCCCTCAAGGTCACAACCAGCTTCACTCACAACGTGGGGAGGCGTCCCCGCTGGTGCCGAGGTGTCATTTCCACCAGTCGTGGACAGCGGTGCCGACTCCCACTTGGCCACGTGCATCCCAGGCCCACGCTGCTGCTGTCCCCAAATCGTGGACTCCCGCGGAAACACTGGGGGTGCGACCCGACCGGACGGAGACGTGCTGACAGAGCCCTGGGTGTCACTCCTCTGCACCCGCCTCTCCTGTTACAGCCACAGACGGCACTCCCGAAGCCCCCCCGAGAGCCGCCCGGAGGCTGCGCAGCAGCAAGTCCCCATCACGGGACACTTAGTGGGACTCACATATATGGAAACAAAGTATAAAATCCAACGGGGTTATTACAGCCTGAGCTACAGCAGACAGGGTTCCACTTTCCACGGTATGTCACCCGCGTGACCTCCACCGTGGAAAGCGCCTGCTCTGCCCCACGCAGCGTGAGGGCCATGTCAGCACCTCCTG